TCACCCCAAAAAAAATGACAATTCTGTCATTATTTACATATCATTCCTAGGCATTTTGCGCAAGCTGTTTGTGCATATATAAGATCCGTAAAGTCACAAAGACTAAAGTCTAAAATCCAAAGAGATATTCTTTATAAAAGTTAAGACCCTCCTAAAACGGCTCGTTCTAACACGCCCCCACATGTCTACGTCACGATGTGAGAAGATTTGCATAACCCCGCCCAAATGTTCACGCAAAGAAAGAAGGCGTAACTTTGATTCTCGCTGTAGTGTTGTTGCCGCCGCCATGGAAGCTGATATTCCAAATATGGTAAGGGGCGTAACATTTCAGTCACGCGCTTGAGGTATTCAGCCAATCACAAGGCACTGGATAGCTGGCCAATCAGAGCACACCGCGCTCTGTATGCGTTTTTTTTTTTACCTTCAACCGCGTACACACTGCATTACACCAAATAATGTTCTTTTTAGAAACGTCATATGACCCCTTTAAGGATAAAGATATCTAAAATGACTCACAATTTCTACCTGATAAAGTATTTTAGAGCTTGGAATAATAAAAAAAATGCCCACTACTGGTCAAAAGTTTAGAATACTAACATGCTCTTATGTTTTTGAAAGAGGTCTCTTATGCTAACCAAGGCTGCATTTATTTACAGTAATACAATAAAAACAAACAAAAAGTTATATTGTGAAATACTGAGAAAATAATACTTACATACAGGGTGCGAACTACGGGGGAGCTCGGCTCCCCTTAATAGGACATGGGCTCCCCTGAAAACGTGATTTGGGAAATTTTGGGGGGTCTCAAAAAATACTGACAATGTGTTATTTTGACGTGCAATTTCAGTTTTGTGTAATGTGATCATCGTGGATTATTATGCGTAAAATTGCAAAAATAACATCCATTCAAGCATGATGGCAATTTAAACCTAATTAACTATAATAAAGATAACTATACATGCTATTCTTGTCATGAGCATCAAGGTGTGGGGGCGCTGCGGTGCAAATTCCACTCATGTTTAGTACATGTTAACTCAAAGATTCGTAGAAAAAATATAAACGTTGGACTCTGTGGTCGATTCTGTGTTAAGGTAAGGCATGTTATTCGCAATTATGTGTTGTGGCTGGGTTGTTATAGGTCTGCGTGACTCTCGATGTCTTAGGTCTAACTGAACGGAGGAATTATGGTATTCTTCTGTAGCCTGATGACGAGTAACTTTAACCGTTGTTCATGTGAACTCAAAGACAGCCTGATGCTTTGTTTATAGACTATTTGTGGGTGGCTGTTTGTTGTTTCACCTATCAATTCGTGTCGATAAAGTATACTAGGGTAAATCCTGTATAGTGATTTATCCTATAGTGCTTGCATAAAGCAAGTAGTGCATACAATGATGCATAACAGCTAAATTACAAGTGTAAGTCATTGTAAGCCCTCTTTTGAGGCACTCGCAAATGCACGAACACCCCCCCCCCCCCCCCCCAAGTGGGCTCCCCCAAAGACCATGGTATAATTCCAACACTGCTTACATACATTAAACAAGATGCATAAAGTATCCATTAAATTGATCAAAAGTGACAGTAAAGACATTTATAATGTTACAAATAAATGCTGGTCTTTTCAACTTTTGATTCAAAGAATCCTGAAAAAATATATCAGTCTCCACACAAAAACTTTTGAACATTGATAAGAACCAGTGATCATTATTAGTAACTGTACACTAATAATAACTGCAAAGCAAATCAGCATATCAGAATGATTTCTGAAGGATCATGTGACACTGAAGACTGGAGCAATGACGCTGAAAATACAGCTTTGCCATCACAGGAATAAATTACATTTAAAAATATATTAAAACAGAAAACTGTTATATTGTTATAATATTTTACAATACTACTGTTTTTGCTGTACTTTTTGATCAAATAAATGATTGAGGAGCATAACCGACTTCTTTCAAAAACAAAAAATTATAATTATTCCAAACATTTGACTGGTACTGTACATTTTTGTAGATATTCCAAGCTCTATAAATTATTAAATATTTACACTAAAATATTTGATCAGGTAGAAATGGAGTAAAAAAGAACGAATTCATTTAAAAATAATAATAATTTTGATCACCTTTCCAGGTCTTTAAAATTAGGTTACCTCATATATTCAGGTTTTTACAAGATTTGTGTGAATCCTGGCTCTGGGTTATATTAATTCTTGCTTTATCTTATTTCTAACCAAATATTTAAGACATATCGACGCCCCCTGGTTGAGAACTACTCACGTAAAGAGAGGAAATGGCTTTAACGTGAAGTGCATGAGCTAGCAGACCTACTGTACCTGTACTGTAGGATTGGCCTCCATGGCTTCAGTAGCATGTGCGCGCTGCAGGGCAGAGCTCCTGGACTCTGACGCCTGGGATGTCGCTGTTCGAGCCTGATCTGCTGGCGATGAATCCTCCTGTTGAGAGGCTGCCTGCTCCTGAACCTGGGCCACCAGGTCAGCCTCTATCATCTCCTCCACCGCTCGGTCCAGTCGCTGGTCCAGCTCCCAGTGAGACAGCGGCTCCCACTCCGCCTGCACCGCGTCCATTATCACGCGCCCTGCGGCCGCCGCGCTCCATTTACGAGCCTCCATCTAGACGCAGCTCGGATTAGTGTGGGAGTACACGGATGAAGCTAGCCAAGTTGGCTCTCCAAAAACATACGTGGTTAGACGCTGCTAATAGACGTTGCTTCTACAATAGATTGGGGAAAGTAACTGGAGTAAATATCTCAGCTTAAGCAATAATGAGGGTAAAACAAGTTAGATGTGATCTACTGTGTAGGCAGTAGATACTAGCGCTGTAGCTTTACCGTGCAAAATGAATGAACTAAGTTACTATGGATAGTTCACATGCATACTGATTGAGTTAACATAGAGATGTGATTTTGAAATTAAATACAAATCTTAAAACCTAAAATACGTTGTGGCACGCCCATAAAAACACGGAGAATATATTTGAATTGACAGACCTTTAAAACAGACGATCCTCTCTTTCTACATTAGCTTCTGTTGCTAGATAGATTGATCTACTGCGCATGCGCACATTTAACAACTATGATTGGTCCTGTGTGATTTCAATACAACATCCATCTGTCGATGAACCCATATCACCTTTTTCTCTTTGAACTTGTTCTACTAGATTTTTCATGTTTATAAAATAAAATTCTGAATTTGATTGATACTAGTAAGCCTAATGAGTGACTGGAGATCCGACCTGACATCTCAATTTGATTTGGATTTTAATTTTTTTTTATACAAGAATGTTTATTTCAGTTTCATGTTGCAAATAATTTAAACACATTCATTGCATTACATTTAAATACAGATGGAAGAGATGTGTTTTTAGCTGATTCTTGAAGATGGATTGAGTTGGGCAGGTCATTCCATCAGGAGGGAACATTTAATTTAGAACTCACTCACTCACTTAATGAAAGTGATTTTGTGCGTCTTTGGGATGGCACAATCAAGCGACGTTCACCTGCAGAACGCAAGCTTCTAGAGGGCACATAATTCTGAAGTAATGAATTTAGGTAAAGGGGTGCCGAGCCAGTAGTGGTTTTGTAGGCAAACATTAATGCCTTGAATTTTTTGCGAGCAGCTACTGCTAGCCAGTGCAAATTGATGAACAGAGGTGTGGCGTGCATTCATTTCGGGTTTATTGAAAATTAATCTTGCTGCCGCGTTCTGGATTAATTGTAAAGGTTAAAAGAGCATTGCAATAGTCCAGCCTGGACTGAACAAGAGCTTGAACAAGGAGTTGTGAAGCATGTTCCGAAAGAAAGGGCCTGATCTTCTTGATGTTGAATAAAGCAAATCTGCAGTTTTAGCAATGTGGTCTGAGAAATTCAGCTGCTCATCAATAATAACTCCAAGGTTTCTGGCTGTTTTTGAAGGAGTTATGGTTGATGTGCCTAACTGGATGGTGAAATTGTGATGAAACGATGGGTTTGATTGAACCACAAGCAGTTCTGTCTTGGCAAGGTTGAGTTGAAGGTGATGGTCCTTCATCCAGCAAGAAATGTCTGTTAGACAAGCTGAGATGCGAGCATTCATGTAAAACCTATAAATATAATTAACATTAAGCAATACTCATTTCTAAAACGCATCTCTTCTTCGAAAATAATTTAAGGCCGTTTGAATAAAATACTATTTATTTAAACCAACTCTGTTTCGTATACTTGTTGATCATGTCGTAAACATATTTCCAGTGTTTAACATTTCTGCTATTCAGCTTTTAAAGTAACTGGTTTCTTACATCAGTCAAGTCCTCCAAATACACTTCTAGGCTCGTTACGAATTGGGTCTGAATGAGAGACGGCCTGCGTCCCAATGTGCATAATTTCCATCCTAAATTCTATGTGATATTAGTCATTTTCAATACTATTTAGGGCAGATAGGGGGGATAGGGTGCACATTGGGACGCAGGGATGGTTCTGGGTTCAATGAATCATCAGTGATCCAATCTGAATCGTTCAGGTTTTGTGAACCGTTTTAACCGATTCATTGACAAGTTTCAGGGCACCTAAACCCCCACATATTACAGAAGTATTTGGGGAAGTTTTTTTAACACAGATGCGATTGTGTAACTACGATTAGCTTTACTAATACAGAAACTGAAACATAACTTAATCTTAGAAATCTTTCACTTTTAAGTTTCAAATGCATAAATGCCAATTTTCCCATTTCAAATCACATTTCAAGGCGTTTCTCCACTAATTTCGATAGTATTTTAAATCACTTAATATCTGAAAACACTGAGTTGAGGAAAGCACTCTCTTTTCTTTTTCCCGTTTCTTGTTCATTTTCTTCCTCCTGTCTTTTGTTCCATTGTTGGTTGTTATACTGTAATGTAGCAATTATATCTCCTCATTTATATATATAAAAAAAAAAAAAAAAAAAAAAAAAAAAAAAAAAACTAAAACCCCAAAAGCAACACCATTAATAAACAGACGTTGAACATTAGAGAAGGAGTGGAAAAGGGCTGATTTTAATTAATTTAAACGCAGTTACAGATACTGCAGCATGATTTTCTTTTAAGGTTTTAACTCTTTTGTTTGTTTGTTTTTCCAAGAGCACTGTGAAGGAACACTGCCATCAGTGAGAAGAATCAGGGGGAGTTCGCAAAAACATTAGGATCCGTTTTTTGGGATGAACACAACGTCAGCATTTGTGTTAAAGTTAAACATTCACTTGTTCAAGCAACTGCGCCCAAAGGCTTCTTTCTTATTGATCTTTACTTTATTCTTACCACTATTTTTAAATGCCACACACACACACACACACACACACAAAAAAAGAAAAAAAACGGACTAGCATTTACACTCCCCTTTGATTTATATACAAAATCAGGGAATTAAATGTCAATACTTAAGCTTCCAAACAAATATTCTAAAAGAAACAAGCGGACACCACTACACTCCTCCAACAAAAGGATTGTAAAGAAAAGCAAAACACACTTCAGGAAGCAACAATGCGAGTGGAAAAATGTATTTACAATGAAACCACTGTATGTCAGAATTCACCTCAACCATGTGCTGTGTATTCATTTGCAGGCATCCATGCCCACTCTGATGTTCAGTAAGTTCCATGTGCATTTACACTATATTAAGTCGGTAACGTAAAACGGTTCAGCCTACGGCCTTTTGCACCCCAATAAAATTATGCAGGATCTAAATAAGAATAATTATAATATCAATACTCATTAACACACAACAGCGTACTGTAAATGCGATCAGTAAAGTGGGCATTTGTAAAACCTTACAGCCACAAACACAAACCCGCCCCGCCCCTATCAGATTGAAACACACAACAAGCACAAAACGTTTAACTCTCCAAACATAACATTTGCGTGAATTAAATAAGAAGCACGGGTTTAAATACTCCGATATCTAACCACCTCTGACAGGTGACTAACAGCTGTCTGACAAACGAGCAATTCATCCAGAAATCAAGGGAAACATTACCAAATGAAAATGTGCCTGCGCCAAATGGGACGTTGTGATTGGTGGATTAACCTGTAGATGAGCAGACACTGAACATTGGAAGGGTTTGCGACAATACAGTGAGAGTAAGCTGCTAGTGCTTGATGGGACGTGAGGAGTAACAGGGAGAGCGATTCAAATTCTCAGCAAAGTTGCAATATCACACAAGATCACATCTTAAAACGCACGTGTTTTGCTTGTCCGCTGTTTTGGACATTCTTTACCCCCGCTGTCTCGCCCCCCCACCCTCCCCTCAACCCTTTATCGTCAGTTCCTCCCCTTCACTGCACGGCTTGTTCGTTGGCAGTGCTGCCCGAGTCTTGAGGCTTCATGACATCGGGAAGCTCAGGAGGGCTGGAGAAGGCCTCTATTCTTAGAGGCTCAAAAGCATCATCTGTGATAAAAACAGACACGGTAGGCAAATTCAGATCACCAAATATCACATAGCGGGATACGAGGCAAGCGACTGAAACAAGAGCTCACCACTGATGCGAAAAGCCAGTCCTACTGTGGCCGGAGCCTGAGGCCTGGCTGTCTGGTTTGTGAACCCACAGTCTCCAAGAGTCTTACTATCTTCTAGCAGCATGTCATCCTGGGGGACATGGAGAGATTGTTTAATAAAGCGCATAATAGACTCAAATCACAACAGCCTATGTTTGATTTAGCCTACGTGTGGTCATTCAGAAACTGGCAACAGCACATGGTCCCACTTATTGTCTTAAAACACTGAATAAAGTATTAAACTCACAATTTTTTAAAGAATGGAATATTATTAGTTTGCTGTACTTTACCACAAAGTTACAAAGTGACCACAAAGTGAGTTTGAGCAGACTTTTTTCCATATTCATAGACGTGTCTTCATTTGTTTTTCATATATATATAATGTTTAGTGTAAAAATGTTTAAAACAAAATATGTGCTTTAGAGAATGCCGTTTAAAGTAATTCGTTTTTCACTTTCGGTGTTGTTAATCCTGTAAATGTGCCTTGTAAATCTATGGGTTCATAAACCTCTTAGATATAATTTGTGGGTTTTCTTAACTTAGGGGGTTTTGAGCTAGTATTAACAAAAGATTTGATTAATTCTGTGATGCTTTGTGGTATTAGTTTGTGTTACACACACTACCATTCAAAAAGTTTGAAGACTCGTATGCTCACCACGGCTGCATTTACTTCATCAACAATACAGTACAAACAGTAATATTTTAAAATATCATTAAATGTAGTTTGTTCTGATCAATTTAATGCATCCTTGCTAAATAAAAGTATTCATTTCTCTTTAAAAAAATCTTACTAGCTCCAAATTTTGTAACATAGTGTGAAATTACATAACTTGGAATGCTTTTATTTCTACATAACAGGAATGACCCAACTACATAGAACCTTCAGGATATACTAAAAGAGCTATAACGCTAGTAATTTATACATGAATTAATAATCAACATCATCATGAAAACTTTCTTTGCTGACCTTATAAAGTCTCTGATCCTCTGGCGCTCGCTTTAGGATGCCCTCCACAATCCGCTTCAGCTCGTAGACCGTGGTAGACTCCTTAGCATCTGTGAAGATGGTTGTCTTGTGACGTCTGATCATCAAAAAGACATCCTGAAGAAAAACAAGGAGCCAGTTACTCAACCTTCAATCCTCTCATTAGCAACACATCTCGATTTACACCCAGTTCAACCCTCCACAACCTAAACTCAGGGAGCATTTGAATTTCTACACAACAAAATGAGACATCAATCACTTTAGAAAAATAATCCCAAACATGATAACAAACCACCAGCTTCTATAACTCTCAACTCCAAAAAAAAAAAGCCGTGTTTGTTGTAATTTACAGGTGGAACAACCACTGGCTTTTTAAAAATAAAACAAGAGAGAGAGAAAAGCAGATGGTGAACAGCTGAAACATGTCAACTACACAACTGCAACGCTCTCTAGGCGAATAAAACGCTGACAGCTGCAGTTGTGTTAAGTTGTTGTTGACTTAGTTACTGGCAACACCTAGTTGCGCGGTTTGTTTACTGCAAACAGCTAACCAGCATTACGAGGGGATGAAAATTCAATTATAATAACTGTAAACGCGGCTAAACCAAGCAAGTTAAAAATCTTTTAAAAATGGACGTGCGAACTGGAGCTAGTAACAACGGCAGGTAGCAACCCATCTAAGCTCGACAATCTTTTGATGATTATCTACATTTATTGTGCGGATAGATTAAACGACTAACGTTAGATGAGCATCTAGTAAGGCACAGCCCAGAATGACCAATGACAGGACCAGCCCGTTCCTACATTACGGAGCTGTCATGAAATCAACACCGTGATTAACAGCCCCGCTTCGGCTACAGAGGGTGCGCAGCTCATCTACAAATAAACAATACGAAACTGTTTGGCCATCGCTTTTTAGTATTGGCCGACCAAACCGGTCGTCGAGCGCAATGTACTCAGCAACACAAGTAAACGGGGCGCATTTAGCAGGGAATGTTAGCCGGGCTGCTAAAAATATTGCGAAACAAAGAGGACTGTGTAAAGGCTGCGTTCACACTCGTTAGCCACTCCAACCAGCGGCTAGTTTGCGTATAGTCCGTCACAGAAACATTTTCAAACTACAAAACGAAAGAATGCGTTCGCTCCGCTTCCTCACTCACCATTTCTCTACGACCGTTTCGCTGACTTCTTCCACTATCCCACGCTGCACTGCGGAAATCAAAGCGCTCGAGCCAGTCCTCCACAATCCCAGATGTCTTTGCGCGAGCAGCGTCGACTCTTTTCTGTGCCGGAGACGCGCCCTAGTGGCCTCACACAATTCAGTGCATTTTTTTTCCTAACTGATACTTGTTGAACAGGCTCAATCCATTTAATTAAGTTTAATGTACAGTTTTGGCTATTTCTGTGAAAAGTAATGCTAGTGCATATCGTATGCTTAAGAATGCACTGTATGGCGCAGCTGCAACAATGCTTTTCACTGGGATTACTGGACAAATGTGTTCAGTAGAATGGTGCACATTGTAGAAAGTATCTGGGACTGTGGCTTCCATTTGTGACCCTGGGGCACAAAACCAGTCTTAAGTCGCTGGGCTATATTTGCAGCAATAGCCAACAATACATTGTATGAGTCAAAATTATAAATTTTTCTTTTATGCCAAAAATCATTAGGATATTAAGCAAATATCATGTTCCATGAAGATGTTAATTTCCTACTGTAAATATATTAAAACGTAATGTTTGATTAGTAATATGCATTGCTAAGAACTTCATTTGGACAACTTTAAAGATGATTTTCTCAATATTTAGATTTTTTTCCACCCTCAGATTCCAGATTTTCAAATAGTTGTATCTCGACCAAATATTGTCCAATCCTAACAAACCATACATCAATGGAAAGCTGATTTATTCAGTTTCCAGATGACCCTTGTGACTGGTTTTGTGGTCCAGGGTCACAAATACAGATACGAAATACACAGACACATCATCAGGGGTATAAACAGTTTATTCTGAGCAAGCCTTTGATGGAATAAACTCCCTTACGAAAATTAACCATGGTTTTAGTATAGTAAAAGTGTAGTAACCATGTTTTTTTTGGCTTATTACCATTTGTGTAAGCACAGTTTTACAACAAATATCACGGTTAAACTATGGTTAGTGTAGCAAATCCATGGTTAAGTTGTGGTTACCTTTGTTTATCTATAGTAACTATGTTTTTTTGGTAGTAAAACCATGGTTAATTTTCGTAAGGGCTTTGATGTTGAGGCAACATTATAAAAGGTTTATTTGAAACGAGAAAAAAACCCAACAACATTAATCATGCACACTTCCATTTCAGGCTGCCACAATATCCTTTAGGATTGCCTGCAACTCACAGGAGTATTTGTGGATTTATTAACATTAGATTATCTTTTGCTGGCTCAATCTGGCTGAATCGGTTATTTACAAATACTATAAATGACTAGGTGTCATGTGACACTGAAGACTGGAGTAAATGACTAGGAAACCAGGTCTTTTCCCACTCCTTTCCAAGTATTTTCTTTTACAGTTAGTACCACTCTCTTTAATACCTTTAATGGTATGCATTTACAATGCTGCCAACAATTTCAATATGAAAATCACAAATAAGATCTCAGTCTGACTTTAACAGCTCATTATTTTTCATTCTTCGGTCAAGCAGCACCTCTTCCTCACTGGACCTTCAGTTTGAAGTCACACACCGGTTACAATAGGCACACTAGCAACAGAGGAAACAAAAGACCCTGTTGGTTTAGTAGCAGCATTTTTTTTATTTATGAAATTGAATGACAAGTTACAACAATATCTCTATGCAGTACTAACAGAACTGTTCATTCACACTTACCTGTTTTTTGTTTTATGAAATGACAATGCAGTCCGCTGATTCTCCTGTGTTAACAAAAGTTGAATGATAATGACTACAGACGTGGAGGAAAGCAGACAGACAGGTAAACTGAGATTTGGATATGAGATGATCATACTCACGGAATATTCGTTTTAGTGCCTCAATTTCTTTTAAAGGGTTTGGTTTCTGGATTTTGAAGGTGTATTTTGCAAGGTCATCTTCACTGAGCTTGATTTGGACAAAAGCAAAACACTCAAATTGAATAATATACTTTATGCATACACTACCATTCAAAAGTCTGAGGTCATTAAGATTTTTCTCGAAATAAATTAATACTTTTATACAGCAATATGAGAGTGATTTCTGAAGGATCATGTGACACTGAAAACTGGAGTAACAGCTGCTGAAAATACATTAATTACATTTGAAAATACATACGTTTTGATGAGTATTCAAAACAAACAAAAAAAATGTTCCAACCCCAAACACAACAGTAGTGTAAATAAATTATTTTGTACATAAATGTGCAGAATCACGAAATGAAACTTTACTGCATTTGTCCATATCTACACAAAACAAAGCAATTCCGCTGCTGATTCTTGACATAATCATAACCAATAACACAATGGTTTTGGGCTGCCGGTGAGAACAAAGATGTTGCAATATCACAATACATACTGGCTGATCCCTGGGTGTCGTATAAGGTTTAGTTCCCTCACTGCGATGGAGTGACAGAGGTCTGTGTTTGGTTTCTGGGTGCACACTGCAGTTGAAGCGCAGCACGCTGACAGGCAAATGAACATGCCAACTGTCTGGATACTTCTTTACCAGATTTTCCACCATACTGTAAAGAAACCATACCATACATTTTTTTCAAAATAACTATGCTCTGTAATATTGTGATTCATGTCCAAACAATTCTAAACGTACTTAACAATGTGGTATTGTGTGTGGGGTTCAAGCTGCGAAGCCTGGTGATGCCGAGAGACGAGGGAGATGTCCTTTATCATCAGAATATTATTGAGTGCTCTGTTAACCTTGACAAAAGAAAGCAAAAAGGGTAAAGATCAAAAATTAAACGGTATTGAGACATTTAAGTAACCTTTCAGCACATTTAAATGAATAAAAATACAATTTACAATTATAAATAATTAAACCTGCACTAATTGCTCTGACATTATCCAGTGAATCATGACTTACCGTTCTGACCTGAATCCCTCTAGCACCCCAAGGTGTGAGAAAACCCAGAGGAAACCCGTATCGGGAAATGGCATCACACATAAGCAGGGCAATGGAATCAGAATTAGGCTTTTCTGATGGAAAGATTTCAATCCACTTGGTGTAATAATCACAGATGACCACGATGTGGCTATAGGGGCCTTTGCTTTCTTGAAAAGGCCCGGTTACATCTATACTCAGCCATTGCCATCTCTCTGTCACCTACATGAAACAATAAAAGAATATCAAAATTTACAGGTAAAACTATGTTAAGCCACACTTTTTACTTTCATAACTATTATGGCTGCTATTTTGTCTTCACACAGAAATTACCGCTGTGATAGAGGACTAAAAAAGGACAAATCTGAAAAAAGGCATACCCGGATAAACTGAGTGTTTGGATTTTCAGCTGTTTCAAGAGGTGCGTCATCATAGGCGACATCATTTCCAGGATCCTGCACATACATATAAAGAATAAAATAAAAACAATGCTAAAACACCATTCAGAAGACTATTTCCAGATCTGTAAAGCCTAAGTTTATACATTTACAGACTGTGATAATGTGAAGGTCTACATACACTAGCATCATCATCAGCTTCATCATCAGCCTCATCGTCACCCTCCGAAAGCTTCATCCAGTGAAAGCTCTGTGAAAACACATTGACTGGTGTATAATGTACAAGTCAGTGTATAAGATGCTCTACAAAAGACAGACAAAAATCAACAACTATTAACCTGTGATTTGCAGTAGTCATCATGGAAGCTGCCAGCATGCAAGGGGCCAAGGCTGGAACCATCAGAATCCACAGGCACACGAACAAACTTCCCCTCAAGCCTATCAAACCCATGAATAAGAGACGTTAAGTAGTACGACAACAACTAGAGAAAATTACTCATTTGGCAAAAATTGCAACAAATACAGTCTAACAAACATTACCGTGGTGTTACTTGTGCCAATACTGCGGTTGGTTTTGGTTTGATAGGCACTTCAACTGGCTTACGATTCTGAAAAACACAAAACAAATGAAGAATGGGTTTAGAAATAATAAAAAAAAAGATGAAAATACTTTCTAACACAGCTTTAAAACAATGGTTCTCAACTGATCGATCTGGGGACACAGATTTTATATTCCTGAACCTCTGTGTAAGCCAAACCCCTTTGACCTAACATTTTCTAAAATTTCTTCCTGAGATTTTATAGTTAATATAGTTAACTGAAGTTAATATTTCAATAGTTTAACAAACCATGTGCATGTTCACAGCTCTCTGATGTTAGTTAATGGTATAATTACAAGTGTTTTATTTATTTCATTCATTCATTTATTTATTTTAAAATTACTTACGTTTTCATTTCCATGACTTAAATAATTATTAGCTTTATATCAAATCATGAACCCCCTGCAATTCCCTCACAAACTCAAAACAGTTCAGGAGACCCTGCAGCAGAACATGAAAACCATTGAATCCCAATTCAAAGGTTAATAATATATAATCAAACGTTTAGTTTGTAATTAATATTACCATACACTGCATAAGACCAATAATACACAAAATATTTACATGACAAAGGCTGAAAAGGAAAACCAGCAATTCTGGATTATTTGGAAATGCTTTGATGTAAAGCACCACTGCTTTCTGGAAATGTATTTACTAAAATGTTTACTTGATATGATGATGAGTGATTCTTCTAACCTCTCATACATACCAGAGATCGTCTCTTGACAGCCGGCACCTGGGTGTGAACAATTAAAAAAAATTAAAATCATGAAAAGAACACATGGATTATAAGCAGAAACGGGGAAAAAATATGGCTATTTGCATTACAAGTAACAACATTTTAAAGACACGCACAAAACTGTTCTGACTTGCCTTCCACTGCAGATGTTTTGGGAAATTAAAGATAGTCGGGACAGCATTTTTGCGCAGTCGTTTGTGACTGCCCACTTGTTCAAAGCAGTCCTTCTCAAAATGATCCGAGCACAGGACTGAGTTTCCAGTTGGCCACCAGTTCTGCCATCTCATTCGACGGAGCCACTCTCTCACTCTCAAGCCGTCAGCTAGCGGGAATCTGGATGATGGACACACACACACACAGGTTTGTTTTTGTGAAAGTGGGGACATCCCATAGGCGTAATGGTTTTTATACTGTACAGACCGTATATTCTATTGCCCTACACCAACCCTACCCCT